TTGGGGCACGTTATTTCGGAGGCTGGAGTTGAAATCGACCCAAAGAAGCTGGATACGGTAAAAGCGTGGCGTCCCCCGACGAACATCACGGAACTGCAGAGTTTTTTAGGGTTCGTTAATTATGTTCGTCGGTTCGTCCCCGACATGGCACAGTTGACTGCCCCGCTGACGGATTTACTGCGAAAGGGGGTCGTTTTTACGTGGGGGGATAAAGAGCATGCTGCCTTCTCTGCCCTGAAAAATGTTCTCTGTTCACCGCCCGTCCTGCGCATCGCCGACCCACACCGCCCCTTCGAGGTTGTTACAGACGCAAGCGACATCGCCATTGGAGCCGTACTGCTACAGGACTTCGGCAACGGCCTACAGCCCATCGTAAACGAGTCACGAAAACTGCATCCGCCCGAGCGAAATTACCCGATACACGACCGCGAAATGCTCGCGATCGTGCATGCGTTCAAAGTGTGGTGCTGCTACTTGACCGGCGCAGACGTGACAGTACGGACAGACCACCGATCACTACAGTACCTCCGCGCACAGCCCCACCTCAACCCACGACAGATTCAGTGGCTCGATTTCCTCGAGTCAAACTTCCACTACACAGTCACCTATAAAAAAGGAGCCTCGAACATCGCCGACGCACTGACCCGCCCCACTGCCCAGATCCACGCGATACTACTCGCCCAGACCAGCCCGCTACTGACAGGACTATTTACCCACGGATATCAAACGGACCCATTCTTCACAGGAGGAAATTCGCAGCAGTTCGCAGCAGCCAAGGGAGTCTATTACGTAAAAGCCGGGACCGACCGCATCTGGGTACCAGGGTACACACTGCTACGGGAATTACTATTACAGGAGGCACACGACGGGGTTACCTCGGGACATTTCGGGGTAGAGAAAACACGGCAGCAGCTGCAGCGGTATTATTACTGGCCCGAAATGTTGACCGACGTGCAGCGACACGTGGCATCGTGTCCCACTTGCCAGATCATGAAGTCAACACGGAAGCGGCCGGCGGGACAGTTGCAGCCAATCCCACCTCCAGAGCGTGCTTGGCAGCAGGTGACGATGGACTTCGTCACGGGGTTACCGGCCGGGGCGAGTGGAAATGACGCGATCCTGGTCGTCGTCGATCGACTGACGAAAATGGCACACTTCGCAGCCTGCAAAAAATCAATCACAGCCGAAGAAACAGCCCGCCTCTTCATCTCTACCGTCGTTCGACTGCACGGGATACCAGCATCAATCATCAGCGACAGAGACACGAAATTCACCAGCAACTTCTGGCGGAACCTGTGGCAGCAGTTCGGCACGCGACTACAGTTTAGTTCATCGTACCACCCCGAAACAGACGGACAGACAGAACGGACAAATCAGACCATGGAACAGCTCATCCGGGCCACGTGCGACGACCCAAACACGTGGGAACAGCAACTGCCACTCATCGAATTCGCATACAACAACGCCCCATCCGCCACGACCCAACAGTCACCGTTTTACCTGAATTACGGACAAGATCCAACAGTACCCATGACCCCGAATCCCGACAACCCGGTTCCACGCGCGCAACAGTTCGCCGAAATTTTGCAAGCAGCACGGACCAGGGCAGCAGACGCAATTAAAAAAGCTAACATCATCGCTAAACGCAACGCCGACCGCCACCGCATACCTGTCACTTACCAGCCCGACGACTTAGTTTTGCTGGACACCCAAAATCTCCGACTGCCCATCACCCCGAAACTCCGCCCCCGATACTGCGGGCCATTTCGCATAAGCCACATGCTTACACCTGTCACCGCCCACCTCCTCCTCCCTGCTGACTGGTACGTCAGCCCCTCGTTCCACGTCAGCCTGCTTCGCCCTTACGTCCCGTCCACGAGCCAACTGCCACGCAATCGCCCAGCCAGCATGACAAGACCACCGACTGAACCAATCATCACCCCCGAGAAAATCCTGAGTCACAGAGTTCGCGACCCTCGAGGAGCCCGAAGGATCGAGTTCTTACTCCGCTGGAAGGACCGTACACCCACCGAAGACAATTGGGTTCCCCCGGACAGAATCGAAAACCACCCCGTCCTCACCGAGTATCTGCGCAGCCGGAATTTCAGGGATGTACACGCACTTTCGTAAGGAGGACCTCCTTAAGGGGGGGGTTAGTGTAAGGAAAATCTCTTTTTCCTTACTTCGCGTCCCTGCTCAACGCGTACATCACTGTAGCGCCACAGTCAGCACCGTTACCACTCGCAATCCTCGCATCGACAATCCGCCCGCCACCTTCGCACGTCGCACCCCGACCTCACGGCTCGGCGGGTAACCCGCGCTCCGGGCCTCCGCTTCGACACTTTTCCCAACCTCAGTCCCAGGCCCGTCGCGCGACAACCACAGTCCATTACCGTTACCACTGTAGTTTCGCTATATATTCTTCGCTCATACCTTCGCTCATTGTACTCTTGCTTCGATAGTGCAATTCTCGTTCGTTCACTCAATTGCACTCGTAACACTTATCTCGCCCTATCCTTATCCGTGGGACCTGGCCCAATCAGGCCAAAGCAGCTGAGGGATCACCTGCGGGTCGAACTTGACGTTACGTTCTCACAACCTTGCGCTGTTTGTCTCTATCGCATTCGCATGTCTCCCTTCCCATCGATTCGCGTCGCGTCGCATCGCATTGCAGTGACACCCACCGACCGACAATCCATTCTGCACTCCACACACAACACCCACACACAACGGCCCTGTTCTGTTGCCGCACTACTAGTGCGGACCCCTCCGCACAGCACCAACTGATGCTTCGACAGGGCTTCTACCGGTGATCCTCAAAGCTTCCTTTTCAAGGGCGTATTCCTTGAAACAGGCTCGAAACCCTGAACTCCATCCCGAACCTGGCCAGTGCTGTGCTTTCTGTGCGGCCCAACAAACGCAAAAGAACAGAGAACCAGTGGTGCTGTGCTATCCCCTCCTCCCAGGCAAACTGGGTGCGAGACTGGTGCTAACATGGTTCCCACTCGGAGAGGGAACCCAGGGACAGCACAAGTAGTTCCGGGCATTTCAAAACTTTGTTCTTAGTCCTGGTTGGCCCTTTTATGGTCAGACGATTCAACCATCCAATGGTTGCTCGCGAGAGGAGGTTTTACGGTCTGCGAAGAGAAAAAAATTATTTGCCTTGAAGGTGCGTAGAGGGGGGCACGAAGCTAGTGAGAGCTTTCGTGATTTTGGGTGCGTGCCGAGCCTCTTGTCGCACAGCTGGTGCTGTGCTGCGCTGTCCGCCCACAGTTGGACGATGGGCAACAGAACAGGGCCAACATGTGTACACGCTTCGTCAGCGGGTCGAAGACACAGCAGGTTGTGTAATCCAGTTCGGTGCAGCGTGTTTTGATACGGTACAGTTTGTTTCAACTGCCGAACCTTCCCTGGGCTAGATTCTTGTCTAGTTTACTCCAATCGCACATAAGTCGTACGGTCGTCGTCGGCTTGTCGTTCAATGTCAGGTGTAATGTCGCAAACCCATCGCAGCAAAATGGTCTGCTTTCTGCTATGGAGAGGGCTTTGACTCGATTTCTCCTCTCCACACCCGACCCGATCCACAGGATTCGACACTACATTGCTAGAAGCTAACTAGAGCGGCACGGGGGCCGTTATGTCATAGGGACCACGAGTTGATGCGTGATTGTAGAGCCCGGGGCTTTAACGGGGCTTCGCCCAGGCTTCCAGAAAGACCCTTCGTCCGCAAGTCAGTTCATTAACTACGGCACGCAATGACGATGCGTCCTTAGCTTTCGTGGGTACTTTCACCGAATTTCGTTCGCCAAATGGCGTTCTTAGCTCTCGTGGGTCCAGGAGATGCGCGCCTCGACGACAGGAAAGGCGACGACAGAGCAATCAACGACATAGCAGTCAACGACAGAGCAGGCGACGACAGAGCAGGCGACGACAGAGCAGTCGACGACAGAGCAGGCGACGACAGAGCAGGCGACGACAGAACAGGCGACGACAGAGCAGGCGACGACAGAGCAGGCGACGACAGAGCAAGCGACGAGGGGGCACAAAACTCGTGTTCCTGGCATGGTCAAGGCGACTCGACACGCCGCTGTTGTCCAGAACGCACGTGCTGCTCTTGTCCAGGGGGTACGACTCATTCTTCGCCATGGGCCCTGAATTGCCGCGAACTTTTGCAAAGAAGCGACTGCGGTGATTGCGTTGGCCTTCACTATAGTAACCCCCTCTATAGTGACTATAACGAGCGTTGCTACACCTCCTCGACTGCTGTAGATGACGGCCTTTGCCGAGCCGACCCTGTGACGGTTGGGGATGTGACACTATCGTGCGGCTGGGAGCCGCTTCTCAGCAGGAGCAGCCCGCAGAACGCGGACTCTTGCTGGAGCAAACGGTTCAGACGGCTGGGACGGCTACAATCGCAGCAGTCGCAGCCGCTACAGCCGCAGCAGTCGCAGCCGCAGCCTTCCCTCTTGAGAGAATCGCTTTCTTTCTTCCGAATTACAGTATCTCCGCGTCATCCGCCGCATTCCACGCTCGGCTTCCTCGCGCATCCCATCCGCGCACTCCTTGTCTTCCTGCTTCTCCTCTCCGCACCCTTCCCCTCGCTCCCCTCCCCTTTCCCCTACGCCCCCCCATTCTCCGCCTTCCCCTTCTCCGCCTTCTCCCCCGCCATCCTCGTGGCGTGGGCGCAAGAGGACCTCCCCTCGATCATCACCGCGCCCCCGCCGTGCCCGCGCGGGCAGCGGCGGTGCTACGGCGCGCGGATTGCGGTCACGGGCGCGGACGGGGCGCGCATAACGGCCTTGCGTACAACATCGAGCAGCGGCAGCGGCGCTAGCAGCAGCAGCAGCAGCACCGCCACAAGCAGCGGTAGCGTCGGCAGCAGCAGTAGCAAGATTAGCAGCAGAAGCAGCAGCAGCAGCAGCAGCACCAGTGAAAGTGGCAATAGCGAGGGGACGGGAGGCACGTGCGTGGATGTGGGTTCCACGTGTCCCGCGCCCTGCATGGCGGGGCAGACGGCGTGCGCGGATGGCAGCGCGTGCTTTAGCACGTGGATGACGTGTGACGGCCACGTGGACTGCGCTGACGGGTCGGACGAGAACGACGTGGCGTGTGCGGGGAAGACGCCACTGCAGGACGGGGCGGGGGAGGAAGTGGGGGAGGCGGAGGGAGCAGGGGAGGTCGAGGGGGAGGGGGAGGGGGAGGGGGGAGCAGAGGAGACAAGCGATACTGATGGAAACCTCTCAGAAACACAGAACGAGCCTGCAACCTGCCCGCCTGGTTTCATCTCCTGCCCCTCCTCCTCCTCATCCGCTTTCTCCTGCGTGAAGGGTGCTCTCTGTGATGGCATCAACGACTGTCCCCTGGAGGCTGATCCCTTGGCTTCCTCCTCCGCCCTCTCCTCCTCTTCCGCTGCCTCCCCCATGCTTCCCTATTCCATCGATGAACACCCCCTCTTCTGCAGCTTTTTCATCTGCCCGCCGGGCTACCGGAAATGTTTGAACGGGTACGTTTGCGTGAGCGAGAAGCTGTGGTGCGACGGTGTGAACGACTGCCCGAGTGTAGACCTGGTGACCGGAAAATATATGTCGGTTAGAGAAGCGGCCAAGGCAATGACAGCAGTGCTAGAAGCAGCCGCAGCCGCAAGAACAGCAGGTTTTGCTGCCGGCAGTGCTTCGACTGCTTCTCACGGAGCAGCTTATAAAGGAGCTACGCCTGCGGCTTATACAGAGGATGAAAACCCGTCCATGTGCGCAAAGCACGTGTGCGCTGAGGGCACGGTGCGGTGCGCAGTGAACAGTAAATGCTTGGATGCCACCCGGTGGTGCGACGGCATCATCGACTGCCCCGTTACCAAAAAAGGAAACGTTACCATAAAAGCTGGTCTGAGTAGCAGCAGCAGCAGTGGGAAGGGGAGTGCGGTGGCAGCAGTGGTAACTGGAGAGGATGAGGATCCGGGTGTGTGTGCGAGCTGGAGTTGTCCTGATTGGGGCAGGAAGTGCAGCAACGGAGTGCAGTGTGTGGCTCGCGACCACTGGTGTGATGGCGTCTCTGACTGCCTTCCAGCCCCCTCCTCCTCCCCACCATCCCTGCCACCAGCAGCAGCAGCAGCAGCAGCAGCAGCAGCAGCAGCAGCAGCAGCAGCAGCAGTGCCAGCGCCATCAGCATCATCAGCATCGACTTCACGAGAGGCATTCAACGATGAGGATCCCGCCATGTGTGCGGCGCTGGTGTGCCCCGAGGGCCAGCGCCGCTGCCGCAACGGCTGGCAGTGCCTGGCGGAGCGCCGGTGGTGCGACGGCAGCAGCGACTGCATCCACCCCGACCCTGCGAGCAACAGCAACGACAGCAATAGTAAAGGCAGCAGCAACAGCGACAGCAGTACAAGCAGTGACAAGCCTGTTCCAGGGGACGAGGACCCGGTGTTCTGCCGCTCCTTCCGCTGCCCCGCAGGCATGGGCAAGTGCCGCACCGGGCTGCAGTGCGTGCCGCTCATTCAGGGCGGCGGAATCGATGCCTCCAAGTGCCAAGGTACGGGTGGATCACCTATACTATGTGTTTGTTCGTGCTGTGAATGTTCTAAAGGAGTTCTTCTTAGTTATCAAACACCCGCTGCCGTTGAATTCTGAGTGTGTCCCCATGCTGCCCTCATCCCCATTTCCATTTCCCTACCTTCCTCTCGTTCTCGCCTCTCCCTCCTCTCTCCTCCCCTCCCCTCCCCTCCCCTCCCCTCCCCTCCCCTCCCCTCTCCTCCCCTTCCGTCTCCTCCCCTCCCCTCTCACAGGTGCTGGGGCTGACAGTGTTGATCCACAAGATGCGGGCAGCAACTGAGGCCTCTCGATTTCACCTCCCCCATCCCCTCTCCTCCCCTTCCCTCCCCTCTCACAGGTGCTGGGGCTGACAGTGTTGATCCACAGGATGCGGGCAGCAACAGCGACTCGCCATTCGACCCTGGGAATGGGGCTGCTGACCCGGGCAGCCAAGAAATGGGCGGCAAGAAAAGAGGCAAAGGGAAGGGGAAAGGTGGTGGTGGTGCAAAAGGCGGGGCAGGCGGGGGAGGGGGAGGAGGGGGAGGGGGAGGGGGAGGGGGAGGGAAGAGTGGTGGGGGGGCTCTAAAGAAGGCAGCAGACGCTGTTATGAAAGGACTCAAGGGCTTGGGAGGGTCGGGCAAAGGCAAGAAAGGGAAAGGCAAGGGGAAAAAGGGATGAGACGAGTAGTGAAGGGGTAGGGAGAGGAAGAGAAGAGGTCAGGGGAGCGCAGTTGACAAGAGAGTGCTTGAGGGGTTTTTGTGGCTGGTTCCAAGGAAAAGGCTGCAGAGAGGTTTTGAGGGTGGAGGCTGGAGGATGGAGGGGTGATGGTGAAGAGTGATGGTGGAGGGGCGATGGCGGTGGAGGGAGATAAAGAGTACATGGTGATTGGTTGCAAGGAGAAGTCCTTCCAACTTCCCAAGTTTATCTCCCAACCACCGCGTGTGCTGCTGGAGTTTCAACATGAGTGCCACACAATTACCGTACGCAGGATTCTGTCCCTCAGTGCGCCTGCCTATTGTTTTGTTATTTCGTTCATTATTTCATTTCTTGCATTCAGGAACTTCTGCACGCGTTTCAGTCCATTCTCGCACTATGTCATGGAGTCACCGTATGGTATTGACGGGGTCTCAAGATAAACCTTATTTTCACATATTTTTACAATTGTAAGTAAGGGATTTTCTCGATATTCCTTAGCGCACCCTGCAACACCGCGTACAGCAGCAGCCGTTGTTCGCCCGTTACTGCTAACGGGGCTTCGCCGACTTCGCGCGCACTGTTTCACCAAACCTCGCACTGCTAGCCCGGCCGTGTCGGCCTACGCTTCGGGACTAGCCCGAGCCTCGCTGCCAGCATAGCACTAGCTAGCTCGCACGCACCGCGTTACCGTTTGCATGTTTCGCATATAAATGTTCGCTCATGCCTTCGCTCATGTAAGGAAAATCCCTTTCCCTTACATCGCGTCCCCGCTAAGCGCGTACACCACTGTAGCACCACAGTCAGCACCGTTACCACTCGCAACTCTCGCATCGACAATCCTCCCGCCACCTTCGCACGTCGCACCCCGACCTCACGGCTCGGCGAGTAACCCGCGCTCCGGGCCTCCGCTTCGACACTTTTCCCAACCTCAGTCCCAGGCCCGTCACGCGACAACCACAGTCCATTACAGTTACCACTGTAGTTTCGCTATATATTCTTCGCTCATGCCTTCGCTCATTGTACTCTTGCTTCGATAGTGCAATTCTCGCTCGCTCACTCAATTGCGTTCGTAACACTTGGTATTCAGAGCCTACGATCTCTTCTCGGACCGCACCCACACCTTCGCTTCCTCACTATCTCAATTTTTGGGAGAGGGTAGACGTCTCTCAGCGACACAGCACCGCCGCTCGTAGTGCTCTCTCGGAAGCACGCACGGCCACGACAGAGGCTCTCGCTGAGCTTGCCCGACACCCCCGCCATGGCCGAATTCACGCTCGCAACATTGACGCAGGAGCAGCTCGACCGCCTGGTGCGCCAAATTGAAGATTCGGCGCTCGAAATCGCGACGCTCACGGCGGAACGTGACTCCGCGCGTCAGCAATCAACGGTGAACACTCCCACACCACCACACGCACCGACAAATGCATCTGCACAATCGGACGAGCCGATCGTCATTTCGTCCGGCACACCAACACAAAACAACAGCGTGGGACAGCGCTCAGGTGCAGCCAGTGATGGCGCCGCCCAGCCGATGCCTGGCATGGGAGGAAACAGGGTCGTACCCAGCCCGCGGCAGCCTCGCGAAGCCCGTCGGCACGTGGAATTCGCGGCGACAAGTGGCGAACAGGCCATTATGGCACCAATGCCATTACGCCCGCCCTGCTTCGACCCAAGCCAACGTGGAGGTCCGACGGTTCAATCGTGGGTCTTCACGATGAATGTCTTTTTCGACACGAATTACGTCGAGTCGGACGCAGCGAAGATTCGGTATGCCGTTTCGCTGTTGAGGGGCCCCGCCATGGACTGGTGGCGAGTCATCGTGACGTCGCCACGCGCCTACGAGCCACCGTCGCAAAAGGAAGGGCCCACGGTGAGAAGAGCTTCGCTCGGAGCGCGCTTCGCTCAGGCCCGAGTCGCGCCCTGGGTGCTCCCCCCTACCGTCGCGCCCTCACGGCCCCGTCGCGTCGCCCTTAGCGGCCCCCTCACGGCTCGTCGTGCCGCCCCTTACGGCCCCTCGCGCCGTCCCTTACGGCCCCTCGCGCGGCCCCTTACGCCCCTTACGGCCCCTCTCGCGGCCCCTCACGGCCCCCCCTACGGCTCGTCGCCGCCCTCCGCGGCCCCGCCACCTACCTGTGCGGCCCCACCACCTACCTGTGCGGCCCCGCCACCTACCTGCGGCCCCGCCACCTACTAGCGGCCCCGCCACCTACCTGCGGCCCCGCCACCTACTAGCGGCCCCGCCACCTACCTGCGGCCCCGCCACCTACCTGCGGCCCCGCCACCTCCTAGCGGCCCCGCCACCTACCTGCGGCCCCGCCACCTACCAGCGGCCCCGCCACCTACCCGCGGCCCCGCCACCTACCTGTGCTGGCCCCGCCACCTACCTGCGGCCCCGCCACCTACCAGCGGCCCCGCCACCTACCGGCGGCCCCGCCACCTACTAGCGGCCCCGCCACCTACCTGCGGCCCCGCCGCCTCCTCTCAGCGGCCTCGCCGCCTCCTCCCAGCGGCCCCGGACGCCGCCCTCTCAGCGGCCCCGCCGCGCCGCCAAGCAGCCGAGCCGCCCAGCCGCCGAGCCGCCCGGCAGCCGAGCCGCCCAGAAGCCGAGCCGCCGAGCCGCCGAGCAGCCGAGCCGCCGAGCCGCCCTGCAACCGAGCCACCCGAGCCGCCCTGTCCGGTAAGAGCAGCGCCTCTTTCACAGCACTGCCCTCACCCTACTGTTTGCGCTGCTAGTCTACTGCTGTCATGGCTACCCCTAGTGTCCTCGCTTTTGATGCTGAGGGTCGGGCCATTGACTTTGACGTCTGGATAGATGACCTGCAGCTTTTCTTACAGTGCGACAGAGCAGACGACCTCTCCCTCTTTGACCTCACTTCTGGTGCCTCCCCTGCCCCCGCTGCTGATGCTGACGCCACTGTTCGCTCACAGTGGGCCACGCGCGATGCTGCTGCACGTCTTGCTGTGCGTCGCCACCTGCCTACCTCTGAGCGTGCGCACTTTAGCCAGTACAAGAGTGCTCACACCTTGTACGATGCTGTAGTTGCGCGCTACTCCTCCCCTGCCACTGCTGCACTGAGCCGCCTCATGCTACCGTACCTCTTCCGTGACCTTGCTGCCTTTCCCACAGTCGCTGACCTCATTACGCACCTCCGCACTAGTGACACTCGCTACCGCGCTGCGCTTCCTGCTGAGTTCTGCGCCAAGAACCCCCCCCCCATGTACATCACCCTCTACTACATAGTCACCCGGCTCCCTGACTCCCTTCGCGTAGTCAGGGACCACTTCCTCTCAGTTTGCCCCACCACTCTCACCGTTGACCTCCTCGAGAAGTCCCTCCTAGCAGCAGAGAAGAGCATAGTCGCTGTAGGAGCCTCTCGTGGTGACCCTCGCACCCCCATCTTTGAGGGGTGTTCCCCCTCCCCCCTTTTGCCCTCTGTTGCCTCTGCTGCTGCGGCCGACCTCGTTGGGCTTGAGTCGGTCGGTGCGGCGTCTACCCCTAGCGGGAGACGCCGCCCTGGCAAGGGCAAGGGGGGCAGGGGCACTGGAGGAGCTAGCGGGGGCGGTGGAGGCGGCGGTGGAGGCAGTGGAGGGGGTGGGGGTGGCGGTGGGGGTGGTGGTGGGGGTGGAGGTGTCGGTGGCGGCGGTGGAGGCGGAGGCGGCGGCGGCGGTGGCGGTGGGAGCGGAGGTAGCGGCGGTGGAGGAGGCGGCGGCGGAGGAGGTGGAGCTGGTCGGGGTGGCGCTGCGCAGAGGGTCGGCTCCGGTGGTGGTCAGCGCCAGCAGCAGCAGCAGCAGCGCACTCGTGACATCCCCCCCCCTAAGCAGCTCCGTGAGTGGTACGCTGCACGCCAGCGGGGTGGGGGTACTGGTCCGTGCACCTACGTCCTCCGCACCGGCGACCGCGCGGGTGACCAGTGCGGGGGGGCGCACTCCACCCAGCGCTGCTTTGGCCGCCTGACGGACGCTTGGCGTCACCAGTTCCCTGAGGCCACTGAGATCCCCCGCTGGGGTGAGCTGTCTAGGGCGGGTGTCGCTGTCTTTGACCTTGACTTTGATGCTATTCTTGCTGCTATGTATACTGTGACTATTAGTGATGAGGGTGACTGTTACCGGTGTTTTCCGCCCGACCCGGGCATTGAGACTGCTGCTCTAGGTACTGGTGAGGCTGCTGCTCTAGGTGCTAGCGAGGCTGCTGCTCTAGGTGCGTCTGCTCCCTCAGGTGCTGGTGAGTCTGCTCTCTCAGGTTCTGCGTCGGCTTCGGCCTCCCACACCTTCACCCTTGACTCGGGGGCTTCTCGCTCCTTCTTTCGAGACCGCACCACACTCACGCCGCTTGGCCGGCCAGTTGCGGTCTCTCTGGCAGACCCCTCTGGGGGTCCTGTCCTTGCTCACTTCTCCACTGTCCTCCCGTGTCCGGCGGCCCCCTCTGGCACCCTGTCTGGTCTTTACCTCCCCTCGTTCTCTACGAACTTGGTGAGTGGTGCTGACCTACAGGATGCGGGGGTTCACCAGTTCACTCCTGCGAGTCAGCGGGTGACCCACTGCACGGACGCTCGGACTGGCCGACACCTGGCCACGTTTACCCGTCGGCCGGGGTCGAGCCTGTACACCCTGACCACTGCGTCTCCTCCAGTCACTGCGTCTGGTCAGGTAGCTGCGTCGGGTCAGGTGTTTGCTGCAGCGTCCAGGTCTGGTCCTGAGTCTGCCCCCTGCTCGTGTCGCCTCCTGTCTCACGAGACTCTCCTCTGGCACCACCGCCTTGGTCACCCCTCCCTGCTTCGTCTCCGAGGCATGGCCTCCCGTGTCCTTGTCTCTGGTCTTCCCCGGTCCCTCCCTCCCCTTCCTCCGGGGCCTGGCCCTACCTGCGTCCCCTGTGTCGAGGGGCGGCAGCGG